TTTTAATTATGCTGTGAAAAGTAGGATATGTATACTACCTATAATTACATGTAAACTAAAAACAATTATTAAAAAGGCATTACAATATTATCCAGTCATTGTCTTTGGATGGTGGGATTTTTATGCATTTTTCTTGTGTACTAGTATTTATTTGCCTATAAGAAGAACAGTATCCCTGGTGGTGCAATGGTTAAAGCACTCTGCTATGAAATGTAAGGTCAGGGGTTTGACCTTGTCAGCCACTCTACAGGAGAAAGATGGTGCAGTCTACGTCTGTAAAGATTAACAGTGTTGGAAATTCTATGGGATATTTCAGCTTTATCCTATATGGTTGATTTCACTGTTGATGTTAAGTGTCACTAAGTTGATTCTGACTCCTAGTAACACTGTATAGGATTTCTTTGGAATGACTAGTGAATTTGAAATGCCAATATTGCAGTTCAAACTAGCCTTTTGGCCTAGTGCTTATCATATAGTGCCACACCAGGGTTGCTATTAGTAATATTCAGTTCAACAGCTGTGGGTTTTATAATGAGAATGTTTCATTTATATATATATATATATAAAAGACAAAAATGTTTAACAGCTTTTTAAAAATATATATATAACCCAAAATTTTCTTTTGCAATGAAGGTATACATATAGAGTAGCATTGGTGTGGCACTGTAGAATACTCATTAGACTGCTAGCCACAATTTTGGTGGTTCAAACTTATCAACCACCTCTTGGAAACCCTATACAGGGTTGCTATGAGTCAGAAACTACTCAACAGAACTTAACAACAAGGGTAAGTAAAGGACAGCAGGAATCAAACTAAGTTGTTTTGTTTTTTGAAGTTGGTAATACCCTTGTTGTCATTAAGCAGGTAATAGACCTACTCCACATTTATTGTTTGTCTCATTATCGGATGCCTCACATTTCTGACAGTAGTAAAAACTCCACTATGCCGGTATTTGCCATAGTAATGGCATACATCTGGCAGTGATGAGGCAAGAGAAACATTGTCTGCAATGGTTAAAGTTATATATCAACTTGATTGGACAAGGATTCTCAGTAGTTTTGCAATTATGTAATAGTGTAATTTGGCAGTTATGTAATAATGTAAAAGGGTTTTTATGTAATGATGTAGTCATCCTCCATGTACGTGATCTGATATGGTCATCATCCATGTTCACTTATTGCCAATTTTCACATAAAGATATGGTTTTGGATACCTAACCATGTTGATAAGTGGGGAGTAGCTATATGGGAAATTGATTAAATAAAAATAGAGAAATAAGAAAACATAATCGTCAAAAGAGTTAAGTATCCTGCTGTTGTTGAAGTAATGCTGCTTCTAAAACAGAAAGGTAAAATGTGTTGGGTAGCCTGTGTAGAAACTGAGAAACCAAAATACCCACTGCCATCAAGTCAGTTCCAACTCATAGAGACACTGTGCAAGGTTTCTGAGGCAGCAAATCTCTACAGAAATACAGCTTTATTTTTTTCCTTTGGAGCAACTGGTGACTTTGAACTGCTGACCTTGTGGTTAGCAATCCAGTTCTTATCCTACAGTGCCACCAGGAGTCCTTTTAAGAAACTGTTAGACATCTGTTAATAATCTTGGTCACATTGTTCTTCCTACAAAATGCTAAAAGTATAATTTCTTCTTCAGTGTTCAAAGAGAATGTTCAACATTCTCTTTCTCAATGTCAAAAGAAATACTGAAATAGTTTAACCAAAATGAAATCACTTCCTCCAGCATTAGATTTTCAGTGTCTTCAAATGCATTTATCCAATTTTACCATTGTTAGTTTTGTTTCTAACAGTAAGCTCATGCAAAATTACTTATATATATCTTAGGGTTAACATAGTAAATATGAATTAGAAATTTACAGTGAAATATCTTCTTTACTCAGAAACTGTTTAGAACCTTGGCTGAGTTCTAAAGTAAAACTACGTAGGGTCTTTGAGGTATTATTGTACAGCTGAGGAAAAGTTTCCAAAATGAGTACTTTAAAAAATAATCTTGAGTGTAGTATGTGAAGGCTATAGCCTTGTTATAAAAAATCAGGTGGCTGTAATCTGATACAATATGATGAACTTGACCTATACCTATGGATGCAGTAGCTCAAAAGAGTGAACAAATCCTTACAGCAAGGATCATTCCCACCCCCTCCATACACAGAGTAGACAGGGATGGGCAACTTGGACATTGGCTACCCAAAATGTGGGGCTACAAAGGCAAGAACTGATTGGCTTACAAGCTTTCAAGAGGGAACCTAGATTTAGAGGCATGAAGAAAGGTAGAATCTCCACTGAGTAGTATACAATCTGTCTAGGCGGGCTGATGAAATGAAATGTGCATTCATCTCTTGTGATATAATAGTAAATAATTGTTATCAGGACTGCTTGTGAGGGTTGGAAATGTAAAGGTAGATGTTTTATAGCAAGGAGGAGACCGATTAACTTTTCAGCCTAGGAGTAGAGGTCCCTGGAACCATCAAGTGAGAAGAGCAGAGAGTGGGACCCTACCCAGAGAAGCAGTGATGCCTGAGATGGAGACAGAGACGATGACATGGAGAGATGGAGCAGTTAGGGACTTTAGATACAGAGAGGGAGAGGGGCTGTGTGCTGACAACTGGGGGGCAGGCTTGTAGTGTATACCCTTTGGTTGGTTGATGATGCATGGAGGGTATTGTAACCATAACAATTAAACAATATAAGATAGGATGAATGTAAAACTAATGTTCTCCCATGTAAACTATCACATATTTCACAATAAAACATTTTAAAAAAGTAATAAGGTGGCACAAGAAATAATATAAATATAATTTAACCAAGTAACAGAGTTTAGAGAAACAATGGTGATTTGGTAATGGATATGTGCTGTGGAGTTGGTTCTGACTCGTAGCAACCCTATATAGGGTTTCTGAAGCTGTAAATCTTTTTGGGAGCAGAAATCCTCATCTTTCTTCTGCAGAACAGCTGGTAATTTCAAACTGCTGACCTTGAGGTTAGCAGTCCAACTCAAAACCACAATATATTGTGATGTTTAGTTTTCCCAAGAACTGCATTTAACATCTGTTTGGATTGAAAAATAAATTCATTTTGCTAATTGTAGCAGGGACTGTGTAGAGAAAAACACAAGTACATAGATATGTCATCCTTAACACATTCAGAATGACAAATGCTAACTTGTGTGTGGTTGGTGGTGGTGGTAGCTATGTACTATGGAGTCGGTTCCGATTCAGAGTGACCCTGTATCAGGTTTCCAAGGTTGTAAATCTTTACAGGAGCAGAAAATCTCATCTTTCTCCCACAGAACAGATGGTAGTTTCGAACTGCTGACCTTGAGGTTAGCAGACCAACTTGTAACCACTATGCTACCAGAGCTTCTTATATGTAAAAATGCATATACTACACAGATGATGCTTCAGTGTAAAATAAGCACTGGATTTCTAATCAAAAGATCAGCAGTTCAAACTCACCAGCTGCTCCTCAGAAACTCTATGCAGGGTTGCTATAAGTCAGAACGGACTCAAAGACAGTTAACAACACTAATGCATTCAAAACAGTTCTTATTTTCCAAAGAACTTTTAAGTATGAGACTTTGTTGATAAAGTAATATGTAGTGAAAGAATGCTTTAAATTAATGAATTGACATTTTAAATATCAGTTTTATAACTGTAGGATTTGTATGGATTTAATTTCCTTGAGTCAGTTTTGAAAAGGTATTTCCTTCAGCTGTACTGTTAATTAAGCCTACAAATCTAACAAGAATATAAAACATGATGTGGCACCAAGGGAGAAGCAATCCAAAAGAGAAAATCCGTGGAGTACAGATCTCACAGGAAGGTCTTTACTGAACTCTGAAATACATGACATCGGCACTGTGATGTTTGAATATTTTTCCTGCATGCTGACATATGTACAATAATTTTCACATATGAATATAAGGGTTGGCTTCTTCCTTTTTACTGCCTTTGTTGTTATGTGCCACGTAGTCAGTTCCGACTCATAGTGACCCTGTACAGGGTTTCCGAGGCTGTAAATCTTTACGGGAGCAGAAAGCCTCATCTTTCTCCCGAGGAACAGCTGGTAGTTTCGAACTACTGACCTTGCGACTCGCAGCCCAATTCGTAACCACTACGCTACCAGAGTTCCTTTACTGCCTTATTTACTTTTATATTTGTTACCTGGTGTGGTGCTGTGGGTTAATGTACTAGACAGACAGCAAGGTCTGTTTTTACTGCAAGTTGTGCAATTCAAGCTCACCAGCCACTCCTCAAAAACCCTAATCAAGGTCCCTGTGAGTTGGAACCGACTCAACAGCACTTAAAAACAAACAACAGCAACTGTTATCTGGTGTCAGAGTAGTTAAGAACTCAGATGTTAATGGAAAGGTTGGCTGTTTGAACCCACTAGCCACTCTATAGAGAAAAACATGGGAGTCCGGTTTTGGAAAGACTACAGCCATGGAAATCCTCTAGGGCAGTTCTAGTCTGTGCTATAGGGTCACTGTGAGTGAGACCAGAATGGACTCAACGAAAATAAGTTGTTACCTGGTATAATTTCTTATCGTACATGTTTTCCATACTCATCTTCATTGCTATACTTTCTCTCCATTTTTGAAACAGCGTCTATGGCACAAAGATAGTGGGAAAGGTGCTGAACAGATATCCTTTGTGTATGAAAACAATTTTACCATCTACCACAAATAGTCCTGTGACTTTTCTAATTAAAACACTGAAAACCAAATCCTCTGAAATGATAATTGCATTAAAATACTTCCTTTTTTAAATCGGTTTTTTTTAACATTAAATCAGAAATATTTTAATTTGCAAGTGACTGACATTATTTTTCTCACAGAACATTTAGCCTCCATAAATTAGTCTTTATTTTCTTGGTATTTCTTATGATAAAATTGTTAGTTTAGACCAAACTTTTGGTCAGCCTTGATTTTTAAAATAAAATAGTTCCGTATTTCTTCCCTAGGTAAAGAAGAATTTATCTGCGAGGATACCACTGCAAATGAAAAAATAGAAAGGAGTAGAGAATATACATACCAATGGCTTCATACACAGGTTGGAGTTCACGAAACAACTAGTTCCAGAAATATGAAATGGTGAGGTCATTTCCTCTAAATTAGATTTTTGTATTGTAAACAAATCTTGAAAAGTGAAACCTAGGTTAATTGTGCTAAAACAAACATGACTTTATAGCCAAAGGCCAGTACACCAGGTTGCCAGATTATAAAAAGGCCTTTCGTATAGAATAGCTTTAATCGTCCTTTGTATTTTTCACCGTGAAATGATCAGGAAGAAGCCTATTTCTGTAATGTCTATTTGTATAATCCAACAGATGACCCACACAAATGATTCTTCTTTAAAAATAATTTGTGTAAAGTAGAATGCATGGTATCTATTAACTATTTTTAACTAGCATACATCTTGTAGGTTGCATTTTATTTTGTTTTTTGTTGTTGTTTACATACGTACACTTGGCATTCAAAATTATAATTCACCCTTATAGCTACTATGTTAGCAGTCATGTACCTAATTTTCAATAATGCATTAAGGAACATTATTTCCTGTACAATGGGATGGTATTTATCTCATAGATTGAGATGGTTCAGTCTATTATGGATATCAAATATTTATATCCACTAGCAACAAACTGCTCTTAATAGATGCTCAGTTAATTTTTCTTACATTGATTTACTTTAAAGCATACATGTCCATATCAACTGAGTCAAAATTTTAAGGAAACAGAAGTCCAGAGACAGTGTTTTTTACATAGATTTTCAAGACTTCATTTTAACTGTATGTTTTCACCAAAAAAAGTATAAAACTGTGAGGATTAGGAATCAGTTAACTATGTAAGCCAATATTGAATCTAAATATAGATGAAACTTTGGAAAGTTTTCCAGACTTTGCGGGTAATAACTACCTCACATAAGTAACAAATAAGCAAATAAAAACCTGTTGCCACTAATTTGATTCCAACTCAGTGACTCTATAGGACAGAGTAGAACTCCCCCATAGGTGTTCCAGTGCTGTAAATCTTTATATTCATTGTCAAAAAGAATATATCAAGAAAGCAAACTGCAACATCTTTCTCCCTCAGAGCAGCTGTTGGGTTTGAACCACCAACTTTTGGTTAACAACCAAACTCTTAACAGCTACAAGACTAAGGCTCCTTAACAAACAAAATATATGGTTAACTGCACATCAAATCCTTAACAACAACAACAAAATATATATATATATGGTTAACTGCACATCAAGTTATATAATAAATGAAAGTTATTTAATTATATGTATAAATATATATATGGATACTGTCATACATTACCTATTCTGTACATATGATGCTGGTGGGTGTGCTACTTCATCTATTGTCAGAAATCAAATGAAACACATAAACATTGAGACACTATGCATTGGTGAGCTGAAATAGACTCGTATTGGCCTTTTTTGAATCTGATACTCATATGGTTACTATACTAGGAATAATAAATTCAAGAGGCATGGTGTCTCATTCATTGTTTAGAAGAACATTTCAGGATGTGCCCTGAAGAACAATGCTGTCTTTGATAGGATCCTATCCATATACCTACCAATTTAAACACTAACTACTAAAGCCAGTGATGACGAAAAGAATTCTACCAGCTTTTCCAGTTTGAAATTAATCAGACATGTAATCAATATGTATTGATAATTACGGGTAATTATAAAATGAAGGTTGAAAACTAAGAGGAAAGATCAATAGTTGGAAAATATGTCCTTGGTGATAGAAACGATGTTGGGGATCACATGATAGAATTTTATAAGACAAATGTCTTATTCATTCAGAATACCTTTTAAAACAACATAAAAGTTGACTATACAGATGGAATACACAGAAATCAAATTTACTTCATATGTGGGAAGAGTTGGTGGAAAAGTTCAATATCATCGGACAAAACAAGGGCAGAGACACACTGTGGAAGAGACCATCAATTGCCCATATGCAAGTTCAGGCTGAAGCTGAAGAAAATTAAAACAAGTCTATGAGAGGCAAAATATGGCCTTGAACTTATCCCATCTCAAGAATAGATTTGATACATTTGACACTAATAACCAATGACCAGAAAATGTTTCTGAACCTTGATGGAACTTGTTTCAGTGTCTGTTAGGATCACAGGGCAGATGGGGACAGGTGACTGTTTAAATATTGTTCTGTGGGTTCCATAAGTCTGAATCCAGGTAATAAGGTGGCACAGCGAACCCCACCTCTCAGACTATTGTCGTGCCTAACCACATGGCAGCAAACTTCCAGAGAACAATTAACTAACTGAAAAAGGATTCAAAAGAATGATATTTAGATGCTTTCAAAGGATTGACAGAATAATTGAGGAAAGCCAAGGGAACACAGAATATATTTTAGAGAAATTCAGAAAAGCACTATAAGAACAATCAGACAAAATAAATATAAAATTTGAAAAAAAATCTGCAATTAGAAATCCAGCAAATTAATACTAAGGTTTTGGAAATGAACAGTGCATCAAAAGGGCAAAGGAATAGATTTCAATCAGTGTAAGTCCGAATTAGTGAGCTTGAAGAAAAATTTCTCAATATTAGAATGCTAGAAGAATAATTAGAAATAAAAAAGAATGAAAAATCTTTAAAAAGCCTAAGAGTTATGTGGAACACCATGAAGAGGAATGACTTATGGATAATCAGAATTCCAGGACTAAAAAAAAAAAAACACAGAGAAAATTGTCAAAGAGTTGTTGGAAGAAAACTTCCTTAACATCACGAAAAATGAGAATGTAAGCATCATGAAAAATGAGAAGGTAAGCAGAACGAACCACAAACAGGATAGACCCCAAAAGAAAATCATCAAGACATCATAATCAAAGTTTCTAAAACCAAAGACAAAGAAAGAACACTGAGAGTAGTTCAGGAAAAATGAAAAGTTACCTATAAACAAGAACTAATAAGACTAAGTTCTGATTTCTAGCAGAAACCATTCAGGCAAGAAGGTAATGTGATAACACATACAAACAAACTCTGAAAGGAAAATTTGCCAACCCAAAATCATATACTGAGTGAAGCTGTCCCTTGAATATAACAACAAATTTACTACACTTCCTGATAAACAACAGAAATTAAAGTAATTTTTCATGACCAGACCAACAAAAAATGCTAAAGGGTATTCTTTGGACTGAGAACCAACAATAGCAGACAACAACCTAATATTTCCACACATGACAACACCACCCAGAATTCAATTCAGATATAGAATTATTTAAAGTTAAGCAAACCTACAAAACTGAAAATAACTGCAAAGCAAAAAGAGGGAATAGTATAGCTACAGAATTTCCAAACTGCAAATCAAGGAAATCAAGTAGATTTCAACATAAAACAGACTGTTTTAAATAGGGGGAAAAGAATCAATTTCAGTGTAAATGCAAAGAAAATTAATGCAATTACATGTCAACAACTGAAAAAGAGGAATAGCAAGAGGATTTAGTAAACATTAACACAACAGAAATGAATATAAATAGAAAACTTGCAGCCAAAATTCATTCAGTGCAGAAAATTATATGGATAAAAGAAACCAGCAGCACAACAACAAAAAAATACACAGCAAAATAACAGCTATTAATTCTTATCTATCAGGAAATATACTGAATACAAATGGATTAAATGCATCAGTCAAGAGACAGAGAGAACAGAATGAATTAAAAAAACAAGATCCTTCAATGTGCTGTCTATGAGAGACCCATCCAAAAGATGGAGACAGCCTAAATGCCCATCAGCAGAAGTTAACTTCTTCTGTTGATAGTCAATGAAATACTATGCAACATTGTAAAATAACAATGAGTCAGTGAAGCACCTCACCACATGGATGAGCCTGGAAGGCATTATGAGTGAAATTAATCAATAACAAAAGGACAAATATTGTATTTGACCAATGTTGCAAAAAGTTAAGAAAAAGTTTTCTTGATAAAAGAAATGATCTATGATAGTTGTGTGAGGAAGGAAAATTATTCAGAGGTTAGAGGGTAGACATATGTTGAAATGGGTGACAGGGCAGGTAATATACCACAAGAGGGAGGTTAGCAGAGGAAGGATGAAGGTAGTGGGAGATACAGGGAGGAATGGAATAGTTACAGTGAATAGAGGTAAATACTGTTAACTATTGGTGCATAGAAGGGATTTCAATCATTGTAATGAAGCAAAGTATATGAATTGTTGACTATAAATCTGATGATCTGCTCTGTAAACCTTCACTCAATTCACATTTAAAAGTTAAAAAAAAAAAAAAATCAGTTGACATATAGCATTGGGCAACTCTGCTTCACAATACCTCTTTAAAGTGTGAAAGAACCAGATAGTAGTGTGAAGCCTAACGTGTGCCTGACCCAAGCCAGGGTATTTTCAATGGCATCACATACATGTGAAAGTTATGTGGATAAGGAAAACCATAGAAGAATTAATGCATTTGAGATACAGTGTTGAAGAATAATATTAAACATACCATGGACTGCCAGAAGAACAAACAAATCTGTGTTGCAAGATGTACAGTCAGAATCCCTAGAGCCCAGAAAGCACACTTCGAATGTGTTATCAGGAGAGACCAGTCCCTGGAAAAGAACATCTTGCTTGGTTAAATGAAGGGTCAGTGAAAAAGAGGACGACCCCAATGAGATAGATTGACACAGTGGCAGCAGCAGTGGGCTCAAATGTAGCCACAATTGTGAAGATCGTGCAGGATCAGGCAGTGCTGCATTTTGCTGTGCTTAGGGTCTCTTTAGGTCAAAACTGACCAGATGGCACCTAACAGCAACAACAAATGAAAGAAAGATTGAAAATGAAATTGAAATAACTTTTATAACCTGAGTCACTATGTCTTATGTCACTGTGGGCATAGAAAGAAGACATAAATCATCATTTGAGAATTATTTGTTTAATGAAATATTCTAATTTATCCAGCCTTAGAAATCCCTTAGGGTTGTTATGAATCATAACCGACTCAATGACAATCAGCAACAACACCAATTTATGCAAGCACAATTTATTTTATTTTGATACTATCCATTTAGCTTAATTCATAGTATAACATCCTTAGAACCATAAACAAATATAATAGAACCATAGCTTATCATATAGATAAGATCTGATTCAGAGATTTGTAAGCAATGAGTATAAATAATGTGCAGGAAAAAAAATTAGGCTTTCTACTTCCACAGACAGTTACCACTTCAGAAACCCTATACCCGATCGCTATAAGTCTGAACCTACTCAAGGGCACTTAATAACAATGACAACAAATAAAGTGTAAAATATAAATAAGATGTTCTTGGGTGATTTTTAGATAGACTTAAACTCTGAAAAATCACTTTTTCATAAATAAATTATATTTCAACATAGGATGAAATAATCAATTGTTTATGGATATTCTCTCTTAAAAACAGAATTTATAAAGGACTAAGTAGTAATATTTTAAGGAAAGTATGTTTTCAGAACCAAAAGTCCTTGGAAAGCCAAATGTCAATGCTCTAGTTGTAACAAAAGTTAGTTATGAATATCGGTCTACGTGAAATACACTAGTACTAATTTTAAAACTAAGAAGTTGTACCTTTCTCAAAAGACAAGTAAAAGATATAAGGAAATGTAAATAAATACTTCAATTTTGATAGTGTCAGTCAAGTGTCACTAAGTGAGTTATGACTCATCGAGACCCTTTATAGAATTTCTGAGTGGCTGATGGGTTTGATTTATAAGCTCTCATTATTGATACTTTCAGACTTTTGCCCTTTGCTTGTGTTTATATTTGACAAAGAAGGAGTAGTATTTTAAGTATTATACATTTTTATTTTATATCAAATGGAATTAAAAACAATAAACTAGGAGTATTTATTTTGTATGTATCTTTATATGGAACTTAATTAAGGAAACTGTTATAGCCATTATATAAATGACTGATCTTTCCAGATTTGTCAGTTGGGCAATTCTTTTATATTCTTCTCCTACATTTATATTAAAATGCTTTCTGTTTTTGTCACCATGCAGCAATCGCTTCTTGCCTGAGTTAGACCCAGATGTACTGAACGGTAGAAGAGTTCAGCTTGTGGTAAGAAATGTGTTTAAAGTTATAGAAAATGCTGTGGACACCAGTACGCAATAAATGGCACTTTAATAGATGTCAAAAATTAGTTTGAAATATGAAAGTTAAAAGTATCACAATTGTATGTATTTGGAACCATCTCAGAAATCCAAGTATTAAAGTAATGACATATTTCTTTTACCTGTATTATGACTTTAAAATATATCATATGTGTTTAAAATTTTTAATTTTATATGACATATTTGAAATCATTATCATGCTATCATATTTAAATAGAATTAAAGAACTCGTGATGGGAAATTGCCTAATGAAATTCTCCTTTAATATTTTGAAGGATTAGAATCTGTATCTACTTTAGGGGAATAATGAAGCATCCTTACAACTCAGAAAATCTAACAAGATAAAAATTAACCAAGTGTGCAATCAACACTTTAATAAATTGTAAATTACTGATATTTCAGCACTGCTGATTCTTAAACATGTTGGCCACAGTGTAGACTGACTGTAGGCAATATAACTATATAATATAAATATATACATTTCTAAAGTAAATTGTACTATGTACTATTAGAATGAAGGCTATTTTAACAGAATGACAGTCACTAATATAGAAAAATTTAAAAATACAATCCATAGAACAATTTTTCAGTTTGTCTTTAGAAAAATTAAGAGAAGAGTATACTTCTGTACAATGACAAATATGTGTGGCCTCCTTAGCAGGTAACCATGGATGCCTCAGGTAACCCTAACATTATGACCCAAAGCCAAAAACCAAGCCCACAGCCATTGAGTCAATTCCAACTCATAGTGACCCTGTAAATCAGAAGAGAACTCCTCCATAGGGTTTCTAAGGCTGTGGATCATTACAGAATCAGACTGCCTCGTCTTTTCTGACAAAGAGGCTGGTGAATTTGAACCATTAATCTTTCAATTAACAACACAACATGTAACCCACTGTACCAACAATCAACAAATACACCTAGCTTATATTCTAGATTTACCAAGACAAACGGATTATAATTTAGCTTGTTTGTAGAATTTGATATCATAATTTAATGATGCACTTTTTTTTAGTGGAAACTAGGTGGTGGGCAAATGGAAAAATTGAAGAGGTCCAAGAGCTGAACAGAAAATTTCAAAGATCAGCTTGAGAAGATAAAGCCAAATACTATAATAAAATATGCAAAGATTTAGAGTTAGAAAACCAGAAGGGAAGAACATGGTCAGCATTTCTCAAGCTGGGGGAACTAAAGAAAAAAATCAAGCCTCGACTTTCGTTGTTGAAAGATTATCTGGGCAAATTATTGAATGATGCAGAATGCATCAAGAAAAGATGGAAGGAATACACAGAGTCATTGTACCAAAAGGAAATGGTTAATGTTCAACCATTTCAAGAGATATCATATGAACAAGAGCCAATGATACTCAGGGAGGAAGTCCAAAGTGCATTGAAATAAGTGGCAAAGAACAAGGCACCAGGAATTGATGGAATAAAAATTGAAATCTTTCAAGAAAGTGAGGTGGCACAAGAGGCACTCACTCATCTCTGCCAAGAAATTTGGAAAACAACTATCAGCCGACTGATTGGAAGAGATCAATATTTATGCCCATTCCAAAGAGAGGTGACCCAACGGAATGCGGAAATCATCGGACAATCTCTTTGATATCTCAAGCGAGTAAAGTTTTGCTAAAGGTAATACAGAAATGACTACAATCATACATTGACAGAGAACTTCCAGAGGTTCAAGCTGGATTCAGAAGAGGCCGTGGAATGAGAGATATCATTGCTGATATCCGATGGATCTTGGCTGAAAGCAGAGAATACCAGAAGGATGTTTACCTATGCTTTATTGACTATGCAAAGGCTTTCAATTGTGTGGATCATGACAAGCTATGGACAACATTGAGAAGTATGAGTATTCCAGAACACTTAATTGTACTTCTGAGAAATCTGTACCTAGACCAAGAAGCAGTTGTTCGAACAGAACATGGGAACACTGAATGTTTTAAAATTGGGAAAGGTGTGAGACAGGGTTATATTCTTTCACCATACTTATTCAACCTGTATGCTGAGCAAATAATACAAGAAGCTGGGTTCTATGAAGAAAAACATGGCATCAGGATTGGAGGAAGACTCATTAACAACCTGCGATATGCAGATGATAAAACCTTGCTTGCTGAAAGTGAAGAGGACTTGAAACATTTACTTATGAAAATCAAAGAGCACAGCCTTCCATATGGATTACATCTCAATGTCAAGAAAATAAAAATCCTCACCACTGGACCAATAAACAACATTCTTATCAATGGAGAAAAGATTGAAGTTGTCAAGAACTTCATTCTTCTGGGATCAACTGTCAACACTCGTGGAAGCAGCAGTCAAGAGATCAGACGACGTATTGCATTGGGCAAATCTGCTGCACAGGAACTTTTCAAAGTATTGAAGAGCAGAGATGTCTGCTTGAGGACTAGGGTGCGCCTGACCCAGGCCATTGTGTTTTCAATAGCCTCATATGGATGAGAAAGCTGGACTGTGAATAAGGAAGATCGTAGAAGAATTGATGCCTTTGAGTTGTGGTGTTGAAGGAGAATACTGAAAGTGCCATGAACTGCCAAAAGAACCAATCGATCAGTTTTGGAAGAAGTGCAGCCAGAGTGCTCCTTGGAGACCAAGATGGCTAAGCTTTGTCTCTCATACTTTGAATATATTGTCAGGAGGTAACATTTGCTGGAGAAGGATGTCATGCTGGATAAGGTGGAGGGTCAGAGAAAAATAGGAAGACCCCTAACGAGATGGATTGGCCAGGTGGCATCATTGATGGACCCAAGTGTGGCAGCAGTAGTGAGGTTGGCCCAGGATCGGACATTGTTTCGTTCTGCTGTGCATGGGGTCGCTATGAGTAGGTTCCGACTCAATGGCACCTGACAACAACAACAACAACAAGTGGTGGGCTGGCTATGTGCCATGGAGTTGGGTCTGACTCATAGTAACCCTGTGTAAGGCTTCTGAGGCTGTGAATCTTTGTGTCAGCAGAAAGCCTCATCTTTCTCCCAAGCAGTAGCTGGTAGATTAAAACTGCTGACCATGTGGTTAGCATTCCAACTTGTAACCCACTATACTATCAGAGCGCTATAGTTGTTATATATCATTCTTGTGTACATCTCCTTCAAGGACTTTTACCTGATAGAGGAGCAAATATTAGGGTAACAACATAAACAAATTTTAGCCAAAATTTATGTTTATGAAAATATTTATAGAATCTATATGCAGATTTGAAGTAATCATTCAGAAATATTTACTTGCATTTTGATAGAGAGCTCTGTTAGAGGAAATGGCATGCATATAACCCTAGGAAGATTGACACTTCAGATTATTAAAACCATTATTATTATAGATTAACACTTTAGCACAGAATAAGTAACCATCTTGTAGCAAGAATTGTTGTTGTTAAGTGCCATTGAGTTCGTTCTAACCCATAGCAACCCTGTATAGGGTTTTCGAGGAGTGGCAGGTGGCCTTGAACTCCCGACCTTGAGGTTCAAACTGACTTTGCAGTCCAGCACATTAACCCACAGCACCACACCAGGACTCCAGTAGCAAGAATTGTTGTTGTTAAGTGCCATTGAGTTCGTTCTAACCCATAGCAACCCTGTATAGGGTTTTCGAGGAGTGGCAGGTGGCCTTGAACTCCCGACCTTGAGGTTCAAACTGACTTTGCAGTCCAGCACATTAACCCACAGCACCACATGAGGACTCCATAGTAAGAATAGGAATCATAAAAATGCCAGCAAATACCAGGTTAAAGAAGTTATATTTTATTTAAATGCTGTGTTTCTAAAACTGAAGAAAAACAGATTGCAAAGCTTTTTGATCAAAATGGTTCTATGATATTAATGTTCTAACATTAATACCCTTCCCACTATATACAAACACATGATAAACATATAGCAGTACTATTTATATGCTGCAGATATAACAACTCAAAAACAAAGTAAATGGCTATTGTTTTTGTTAGGTGCCATCAAGTCAGTCCCGACTCATAGTGACCTTATGCACGACAGAATGAAACACTGCCTGATCCTAGGCCACCCTCACAATTGTTGCCACTCTTGAGCCCATTGATACTGCCACTTTACTAATCCATCTCACGGGGTGTCTTCCTCCTTTTCTCTGACCCTCCACCTTACCAAACATGATATCCTTCTCCAGAGACTGGTTCCTCCTGACAATATATCCGAAGTATGAGAGACGAAGTTTGGCCATCCTGACCTCCAAGGAGTACTCTGGCTGCACTTCTAACACAGATCTGTTGGGGTTTTTTTGCAACCCATGGGACTTTCAATATTCTCTTCCAACACCATAATTCAAAAGCACCAATTCTTCTATGGTCTTCCTTATTCACTGTCCAGCTTTCACATGCATATGAGGTGATTGAAAATACCATGGCTTGGGTCAG